GCTGACCTGCCTCAGACCCAGAGGGAAGTTTCACTAACACAAACAAACTACAGTCTCCATAAATTTCAAGCATCTCATACTGGTCCTTGGAAGCAAAGCCACTCTCTACAAGCTGGGTCAGTCCAGCCTGCTACCAGAAAACATTACCAACACCTGCTTTACAGAAACAGAAAAAAAATGGTACCTGGCCAGAATTAAAAGATCAGGATCTGTATTCAAATAAGACTTAGGTTCATAATGTAGGCAACCTACTAAACAGTACACCCTCTGAATGACATCAGAGGGGAGTCTAGCTAACTCAAAGAAACCATAGTCTCCATAAATTTAAAGTTTCTCCTACTGCTCCGTGGAAGCAAAGCCACTCTACAATTCCAGGGATCAGTATACTACAACTCATGCACAATCAGTTTTGAGACAAAGTTTATACAAGTGGATGCATAATATTTGAGCCACTAGAAACTGGCTCAAGGTCACCGTATACTTACTCTTCACATACCATATAATATTCCCCAAACACCTACACAAACTAATTTTTATTTCAAGTTAAGATTGATACAATAAATCCAACCTTCACACAAAAAAATTTAAATCAAGGATTAGGAAGGATGATATTAGTTAAAATATTATACACTGATATTTTAATTATCTGTGTTGCTGGGAGCATGAATAAATTACACTTCTCCTGTTTCTAAGACAGCCTTAACTCTAATTTACTCAATATACACAGCTCTTATATACGAATGGTTTTTTTATTAGTGTGTCCCAAAACATGCTGAGGTTTTAGTATCACACCAGAGAGCACTGTAAGGGACTTCATGAGATCAATTAGTCTAAAGGTGCCCTACCTGTGGCATGTGCACAACAAATAACACAGGCAACCTCTGTGTATGGTATACAGCAGACCTGGCACACAGTAGCACATAGGGCAGCAGCAGCAAAGAGCAACAGACAACACAGGGAAAGTGGCACTCAGAGAAGTCACGGGGCTTAATTTGTGACACGCCTGTCAAAAAGGTTGATAATAGTCTAGGCCCTGGGTCAAGACAGAATTATCCCTGCCTAAACCATTCCAGGCAAGCATCTGTTTAACCTACTCTTCAAAATTTCCAGGGATGGAGTATCCACATTTTTCCTAGCTAGTCTGTTCCAATGTTTGACTTCCCTCATAATCAGAAAGTTCTTCCTTATCTCCAACCTAAAATTTCCTCCCCTCCAGCTTGAGGCCATTTCTCCTACTCCTGTCTCCTATGGCCACAGAGAAAAGCCTCACTTCATCTTCTTTGAAATCTTGCTTCAGGCATTTGAAGACTGTTATCAAATTCTCCCTCAGTCTTCTCTTTGCCAGATTAAATATCCCTAATTCTTTCAGTCTTTCCTGATAAGCCAAGATCCTGATTTTCTCTATTAAAAATCCCAAATTCTCAGATTAAAAAAACATAAAAATCAAATTACCCGATTAAAAAAAACTCAGATTGCGTTTTTCCATGATTAATATGAAACACCACTATATATATAGGTACCAACTGAACACAATGTTTTATTGACACATTTACAATTTTAAAGTCTACCAGTGCCTCAATATCTAAACACCTCTATATTTTTGTGTTTGTTTTTGTTGCATCATGAAAAAGCAAAGCTGCTCCTGACCGCTTTGCTCACCAGGATTTGGGTCCAACTGTGACTGTCCGTCGCCCCCCCCCCACTTTGTGGTGCTGAGCAACCTTGATATTCCCCTACCCTGCCCCTGCCCATGCTGTTGCCCCTTACTCCCAAGGCACAGCCCCTCCAGCCCTGCAGTGCCCCTCACTACCAATCCACAGTCCCCTGGCCCTGCCAGTGCCCCTCACCCCCAAACCAGACCTCTCCAGCCCAGCTGGTACCCCTCACCCCTACATGTGTGAGGAAGAGGGGGCATGGGGAGCATAGGTAACACATCACGATGAGTAGGGGGGCACAGCTCTGAAGTGCCCCTCACTGCCGACCCACAGTCCCCTGGCCCTGCCAGTGTCCCTCACTCCCAAGCCAGACCCCTCCAGCTCGGCTGGTACCCCTCACCCCTACGTGTGTGAGGAAGAGGGCACGGGGAGCACAGGTAACATCACGATGAGTGGGGGGCACATGATCCCCCCCCCCAGATTTCTGTACCCACAGTAGGACGCAGGGCTGCACCTGGGCCAGACCAGATCTGGACACAAGCCACCTCTGCAGCCGGGAGCTGGCATGGGAGGAAGCTCTGCACCACCATGGCCGCCAAGGTAAGACACAGCTGCAACACAGTTTGGTGTTGTGATTCCCACTGCTGCTGGATGGACAGAGGCATCTCACCTTGGTGGCTCTGGCAGAGTGGTGCTTCCTCCCGCACAAGGTCACACCCGAAGCTGATCTGGCTCAGCTGTGGCTCTGTGCCCCACTGTGGGAACAGAAATCTGGGGGCATGGTGTAGAAATCTAGGGGACATTTGCTCCCCTGCCATATCACCTATGTCCCCCTGCCCCTCCACAAGTCACCTGTGCCCCTGCCCCCATAAACATACCTGTGGGGAACAGCAGGAGCTGCTCTCCACCCCACAGTCTGGTTGCCGTGTGCATTCATACATACATATGGCACCTTATTCCCCCTGCATCCCGCTCCCCTCCAGCTCTAAACAGCCCCTTGCACACTGGAACTCTTCCAGACTGCAAGGGAAACCAGCAGTTTCCTGCATTTTTCTCCTTTAAAGGAGAAAATCTGCATTTTTCCACAGCAAACAGAAAATCTGGATCCCTGCTCATAAGTCATGTTTCCCAGGCTTCTGCTCATTTTTGTCACTGCTGGACTGTCTCCATTCTCTTTACATGAGGTGCCCAAACATGGACACAGTACTAGAAAGGAAGAAAATTTCCTTGATTTACAAGAGATACTCCCATTAACACAACCTGGTATGCTGTTGGCCATTTTGGCAACAAAAGCACACTGTTGGCTTATATTCAGCTTATGGTCTACTGCAGTAGCGCTCAACCTTTTGGCCCTGTAAGCCACATGAGTGAGGCTGAGCTAGCCCATGGGCTGCATCAAGCCCCATACTCCAGGATCAGGCCCTGGGGCCCAGCACTGCCCTCTCTATGCTCTGAGTGCCAGGAGCAGGCCCTGGAGCCCAGTACTGCCCCTGCTGGGCCCCACACACTGGGATCAGGTGTCCAATCCAGTGCATAGGGCCTGAAGCTCCCCACAGGTCTGGAAGTGTGATGGTGCAGGTAGGGTGCCACTCTAAACAACTGGAGCACAGCCAACCTTTCCCCAGTTTGTATTTGTACATGCATTTATTCCATCCCAAGTGCAGGACTTTGCATTTGTCCTTGCTGAATTTCATTTGATTGATTGCAGAACACTCCTCCAGTCTATCCAGGTCATTCTAGATCCTAGCCCTGCCCTCCCGAGCATCTACACCCAACATGGTGTCATTCACAAATTTGCTAAGAGTGTGCTCACCCCCTTCATCCAAATCATTGACGAAGATGTTAAACAATAATGGACCCAGGACAGAGCCCTGAGGAACCCCACATGATACCTTCTCCCAGCTAGATGTTGGGTCATTGATGACTACTTGTTGAATACAATGATCCAATCAGCTACATATCCACCTTACAGTACTATCATCTAGTCTGTATTTCCTTAGCTTATTAATGAGAAGGTTGTGGAAGATTATCAGAAGCCTTACTAAAGTCATCCACTGCTCTCACCACCATTTGGAGAGCCTATCACCTTATCATAGAAGGAAATCTAGTTGGTGAGACATGACCTGCTCTTGGGGAATCTATGCTAGCTAGCTCCTAATCACCTATCCCAAAAGGCTTATGGTCTAAAATTTACCGTATGTCATCCTAAGCATGATGGAGTAAGTAGTGAAATGTATGATCTGTGAGGGGAAATATGAAGGATGAATATGTATATAAATACTTGTTTAGGTTAACTGCTTTTGTTTAAGAATGCAGACTCATAGCTGGAAGTCAATAGTTACATTGTCTGGAATTATTCTTAATAATTATTTTTTGTTTGACATATGACACCTAGGTACAACAGACTAAGTGTTAAAATAGGTATTTTTCAATTAATGTTTTTAACCTTGAAAGCTGCATTGGTGAAATTGCCTTATGTGGATCTATAAAAAGCTGTGGTATTTGACATCATAAAATTAAATGGTGCAACACAGATACTAAAGTCACCCTGAAATGTGCTTATTAAATTCAATATATTAAATATATATTTAAAAAACCCACACTGCCTATTCCAGAGAAAGCAGTATCACCTACTTTTCAAATATCCCTTTGCAGTATGAAAGAACTCTAATGAGGGGCTGCCACAGAGAAAACTTGCTCACTCTCTCTGTGGCTATAATACTGCTTTAGAAAGCAACAGCACCCTGCTTTTGCTTAGAATCTTTACAGTGAGAAGACCTGAAGACAAGACTGATATACAACAAGTTCTGCCTTACCAAAAATCACAACACCCACCTGTTTCTCAGTGAGAAACTATTTAAGACTATTACCATGTATAAATTACCTTATGAAGGTTTTCACTGAATCTCTTGTATATCTAGCATCAACTGCCAAAAAGCCCCAATGAATGTATCCATTTTAAAAATTAAAATGGATTTTTAAAGAAAATCAGTATGTTTTTGAATACTATACACGAAAAAACAAACCTAGCACACATGCTTTCAGAAGACACAAATCTAGGCATCTTTAGATGTTCTGGTGATTCCTGTTGGTTTCCCATCCCCCAAGCAAGGGATTTGGAAACACAAATCCACTAACATTCAAATTCATGCATCTAAATACTTGCACTCATGCAAACCTCTCATTAAATTATTAATACTAAACCAACTGTCACATTCACAACCTCAGAATTATTCAAGTCCTTCTGAGTCAATTGCATTTGTTCTACAGAAAAGGGGAAAAAAGTTGAGGATCAACCTGGAAAAAGAAAGAGAAAAGAGTCTAATATAACGGAGAGAGACTTACACATCAGCTCCATTGCGTTCTGCTAGCTTCATTTCAGATTCAATACTTGCTGTCCAAATCAATTCAGGAAATCTACGTAGAGGGGAAAAAAGAAAGCATCTTTAATATAACTTTCCAACTTTGTCAGCTGTTGCAAGTTCATCACACATTTTGCTGTATTTATGTGCATTTTCAAAGCCCCATTACAGAAACCAAACCTGCATGAGACTCTCAGCTTTCACTTAAAAAAGGTTTGTAGAAAAAAACTAGATGATGTTAATTCCTAAGCTTCAAAGCAGAAGGCAAATAAAAACTAAATGCTGGCATGAAGTCGATCTATTTGTTAAACCATTCTCATGTTATTTTGGGAGCTGACACACAATTTTTGTATACTTAGAAATATGAGCAAGAGATCATGAAGTTAGGAGTTCCTGGGCAGTGCTAGGGATTTTAGACAGTGGTTGAACAGTTTCTCCTTGAACTGTGTTTTTTAGGAGTAGGGTAGTACTGCTGGAGATGATCACTCCTGTGCCTCACTGAAACTTTGTGGGACTAGAAGAGCATAACAATTTAAGAATTTTAGTCCACTGACAAAATTCTTTCTTGGGAAGCTTATGAAAAGTAAACTGTGCAGAGTTTTCTTCCCCTAAACCCCAGACCGGCCTTTGATTTGATTTCTTTCCTTACATGTTGATTGATTGACCAATAAAAAGATAAAATCATGGGTTAGAAGCACCGAAGAAGAACATTTTTCCCATCTGTGGGGGGTGGGAATATCTGTTTTCAAGTTGCTCTCTCTTTGCAGATACTGAACTCTTGACAGGCTCCTTTGAACTGTTATTTTACCTAATGGGTAGGTCCTTTTTGTGGGGAGGAGTAGCTTCCTTGACCTTTTGGAGGGCAAAAACTATTTGTCCTCTCTATTTAGAAACCCCTGGATTCTTCTTTTAAAGGGTAGAAAATGTGGCACTCCTCTCAAAGGATGTTAGTAAAACACATCTATGTAATAGGATGGAGAAGAAAAGATTGAAAACATCAACAGATGCAATTATACATACTACAGTGCCATAAGAACAGTTCTGTCCAGCACAATTAAGAAAGTCAGTAGTGGACTGTACAAAGAGGGAGTTATGCCTTTAGAACACCTTACAATGAACTACTGCAAAACCTTTTGTGAATAGGAAAGTATCTTATAAAGGGAGACACAGAGGGGAGAAGTTAAATGCCTTCCATAAAGCCGAAGTGGGAATCGGAATAAGGATTGTGTGGGAGACACTGAGCATGATACAATCTTGTACACCAAAAAAGAAATCACAATAAAGCACCCCCCTGTAAAATGGATTCAAAACACTTCAGCCAAAGTGATTTGATCCTGGTTCTCCCACATACTGGGTGAATGTTATAATCACGCTTTTAGTAAATCAGAATCTAATAACCACTGCATCTGACCAGACATCCTTCTCTTCCCTGCTGGTTTTGTGAATGATGCCTAACCTTTATTTCCATTGTTCTCCTTTTTCCTGAAATAAACACGAAATGTGTTGTTTGGGACCGAACCAAACATCTCAGTCAGCCCCAAATAATTGATTTCTGTTTTTAACTTCTTATAATGATTTGACTGTAGGCCTCCGAACCCACAAAATATTTTTCACACAATATTAATCAATTAATGAAAATGAAAGACAAGAAAAATAAATATCTTTTGAAGTACAGCAAAAGCTCTCTTATCTGGCACTCATGGAGAATGGGGGGTGCCGGATAACCAAATATGCCAGTTACCTGAGAGGCGCGAACAGGTGTCTTTACCTGTTCAGGCTGTTGCACCCCCCCGCCATGCCTGGTACATGGCTTCCCCTCCCTGGCATCAGTGTGCCAGGGGACAAGGAGGGGGGCCCTCGCACAGGCTGCTCTGCCCCAGGCCATGGTCCAAAGTCGGCCAAAGTGGGACTTCTGGTTTTGCATTTGCTGCGTCGATCGGCATGCTGGTTAACAGAGCATGTGCTGGATAACGCAGCTTTTACTGTATTCTAGATTTTGAATGTAATAATAATCAGGCACAATTACTACACATTTCTATTGTCACCATAGCATTAACTTGAAAGTCAATGTTTCCTGCATTTTGTTACAAATTCAAAGAAAAGCACTTGAGAATCACTAAATTTAAAAGTGTAAACCTAAGCTCATTTTCCAGTTAAATGGAGCCCATGGATTAAGTTTCGGGTTTCAACTTCAACCAGTGAATGTCCAGAGATTATTTGTATATTTGGTAGGCAGAAAATTAGTGCTTTCAATTCAAGAGGTATTCCTTCAATTACAAATCAAGGGAAGTCTTAACTTAGCAGAAATTTGCACAGCTCCAGACAAAGCAGACATATTTCAGTTGAAATAGTTAGTTAATTTTTGCAAAATGCAACACACATTCAGTTATAAAAATGAATCTATAAAATTGCAAGGAATGATCAGTTTTCATTCCTGCATATCACTATTCAAGTTGTTAGAAAAAAAAATCAATTAAACAATACATTTTCTGGTTCAACTAATAAAGAACATAATATGTAATATTGTTATATTTCTTGTGCCAGCATCTACTGTGAACTGTGATGCAGTTAACCTCAAAGATTAACACATTTTAAAACAACATGCTTGTTTAAGATTTCAGAATAGATTATTTTTTTTAATTAAATCTAGGACAAGCAAAAAAGTACTCTCTCAAATTCAGGATGTTTTTGTATTCTCTTCATGGCATCCTAACGTAATTAATTCTCCACTGAAGAATACTACAAGATACCACAAAAGAAATTGCATCCAAAGCTTATTCTGTTTTTAAACAATAACACCACAATGGTAACCTTATGTCTAATATATTTTTAAATCTTTACTCCCCAAAATTCATATAAATTCCTATCTTTAAATCACTTACTTACTCAACCTGTTAATGCAGCAGCTGAAATTAACACATTCCCACAACTGTGCAAATTTCCATTGATACTAATAATGCAGGAATGAATAGCACTAGTGGAACAGGTAGAAGGCAATTTTACTAAAGAGATGAGGAAAAATTACTAGGAAAAGCTATTTTCAAATAGTGTACAGAATTTCCTGCTTGCTTTTTTAAGGCCCTACTTATGCAAATGCCACCATAATATTAGAAATAACCCTATGTAGGGAACTTATAATAATGCCGAGTTACAGGCTCAGTACAGAATTGCTGTTATATTCTATTCATGTTCTTATACATTATGATAGCATCTGATTTTACCTGGCGTGCTTTATGCCAAATGTTGAACTAAAACATGACCATAGTGTTCTTCACGAAAATCTTTTTAACATTTTCAGCTGTTTAGGTTATCACTGTTTATGTAACTAGTTTTCTTTATTTTCTTTCAAAGTTCAGAGAAGCAACACAAAGTAAATATGCCCCTCTTGCAATATGGAATAAGATAAGACTCACAGCCAAACTCAAATTGTATCCCCTCATACTGGTCAGGGGATAAAAATGAGGAGTTTGCCCCTCTTGTGCAGTTTCCCTGGCACTTGTGCACAGAGCAGCAGTAAGGGGCAGCAGGCTGGAGTGTGTTCAGGAAAACAAGAAAGAACATTCATAAAGAGTTCACGCCCTTTAGTCCCAACCTCTCTTTATCCCAAAACAGTTCTCAAAAAGTAGTCTTTCACGCAGTTGTGGAAAACTAGGGTAAGGGAGAAAGAGAGAGTACAAATGCAAGTGTGTAAGAGTTGTAGTGTGGGAACCATCAAAAGAGGATCAGTTATTTTCCCATAACCTAAAGCAGGGGGTTTCAACCTTTTTTAATAAGTGTACCCCCAGCAGCCAGACATGGAACGGGGAGGGGGGAGAATTGCCTGCAGCCAGATGCGGAGTGGGGCAAGGTGGTTTGTGGAGTGTGGCTGAAAGCAGAGCAGAGGTGCAGGGTGGTGGCAGCAGGAGCTGCCGCCGCATGCAAGCTTCCCCCTCACCCCCCAACCCACTGGGCGGTGCCTGTGTGGCCTGCAGAGGGGCACTGCTGCCCTTGCCCCACCCTGGCCTTGTTCCTGGGAGGCAGCAGTGGGGGCTGGTAGGTGGCAGTGTTCCATCCCTGCCTGGCTGGACATACCCCCTAGGGCCTTCCCATGTACACCCAGTTGACAACTTCTGAGCTAAAGGTTTCCTAACAGCATTATAGCATATATCTCTGTGGTTCAAAGATACTATTTACTATTATAGCATATATCTCTGTGGTTCAAAGATACTATTTACTCCACATTTGTCTAATTCCATCCCTTCCCTCTTCCTGCTTTGTTCATTTGATAAATATCAAGGGTGAATTCTGATCTTTTTCAACTATTCCTAGTGGACCTGTTGTAAGCCTCAGTTATATCATCTGTATTACAGTATAGTAGTGCCTAGGGGGTTCAGACAAGGCCCAGGGTCTCATCATGCTAGCTACTACACAAATATGTAACAAGCCACCAGTTCCTACCCCAGGGAGCTTGAAATCCAAGCTTATGACAAGACAAAGCAGGTGAGTGGAATAAACAGGATGAAGATTTTAGCATCCTTTTATCACAAATCACAAGCTTCAAAAATATGATTATCTAAATTGCTCATGCCAGAATCTTTTGTGGGGATGTAATTTTGTTTGTTTTCCATTTACTTCACATGTTGTCTACACTGTAAAGGAAACCTCCCAAGCTCCCAACATCTGTTAAACTACAAACATGCTAGCAATATTGGCAGTCTGGCTTAGGATGGTTCTTAGACTCTAGCAGGAAGTTTCTACACCGTGTCAGTTATTCTTTTTCCCAGCAGGACAGTCTTCCATGCTAGAAAGGACCACACTTCTCATTCAAAAATCAATCAAAAAGTAATCTTCCAGGTCTTCCTGCCTAACAAAGAAGTGACACCAATGTGTATTTCTACTTCTCCGCTGTATCTACTGCATAATGGTCTAGGTTACCCTTACAAGTCTCTTTCTGAAAAATAAACTCCATGTTCAGTTATTCTCAGAGAAGACTTCCCCCTCTTCCCCCCCTTTTGGAAAAAAAAAGTGTTTAATACACATTGGAAGGAGCAGACAGAAGTTCCACAGACTTTCGTGCTGCCCCAACCACACCCCAT